TTTACAGAATGGCTTATAATATATGTGGCCACCCACTTTGAGTAAAAATTAAATTTTTTTAGGTGCAAAAAAAATCAACAAATCAAAACAGATTTCTGTTCCAGAAATCAATTTCTAGAGTAGAATTAGTCATGTTTTACCAAACAGATTTCTCCTCCAGAAATCAATTTCTGGCAAGAATTTGATTTCTGGAGCAGAATGGTTACCATTCGCACCCTAACTTGACAAATTTTAAGATATGAATGCATTTTTTGAAAGTTTTATGATCCAGTTGCACTTTCATGACAATTTTTAGGACTCAATTATACCTTTTTTTAAGTTTTAAAACTCAATTGTACTTTCGTGATAAGTGTTGTGACTTTTCCGTGCACTTATTTCGCAGAAAATCAATGCTTCTGGAAACTTTGAGTACTTTTTTGTTTTATTGCATGATGAGTGTCCTAAACACGCTAATTAATAAAATCCCTTTTCCTAAAGGCACATATAGGGCTTGGGGAATGGTGGTAGACCGGTAGTTATGGTCCTCAAAAGAATATTCTTAAACGCATCGAAATTGGACAATATCGATCATGGTCTGACATGAAATCATCGATTTGATAATTTTAAAAGTGGAATGACGCGACCCAAGATTTATTTTTTAAGATGAAACAACTCGATGTCCTGACCCATGATTTTGAATCTATATCAAGTTTAATGATGGCTCGTAATATTTTACATATATAATGCTATCTCATGATACATCGTATAGTTTAAGTTATATAAAAGGGTCACCAAATCTTTACACCGTAACGGAATCCATGTCCGAACACAATCATCTATTGATTTGTTGGGCTTAATTAGTGACAATAATTCGGGCGAGATCGTCGAGGATGGTGGGAAAGATGATAAGAAGTATATGGTCACAAATGAAACCATGACGGGGAAAAGTGGCGCATGTGTAAAAGGGGTATGTACAAAATGCATTCGTCTGCTTGCGGGAGTGCTCTTTTAAAACATAGATGGTCCCATCTCTCTCTCTCTCTCTCGAGACTATATAAATTCAGTCCCGACAAAGACTAATGAGTTGGATTCCATAGTCCACGTGATTCCCATTTCCATGGCGAGTCCACCACATATATTCCATTGCAGGATGCTTAGCCACCCTATGTGCTCGTTTGGACACAACAAGGCTATCAAACTAGGGGTGTCGTGGGTCGAGTTGGATTTGGATTGGGTAAAAAATGGTCGGACCCATTTGAACTCATTTTTATGCGATATAAATTTCACGACTCATGCCTAACTTGACCTCGACCCCAGCCCATGTTACACAAACGCATCCATACTTAAGTCTAACAATGAATTATCGTTAGACAGTTAGTTTCAATGACCCTTTTAAGCTTATAATAAAAGTTAGGTTTTCTTTCTTTCCTGTCTATGCTCCATTCATTAGAATGTTAACTTCAATGACCCTTCTAAGCTCTCCACCATACGTTCGTCCCGACGATGAACCATTGCATTTTCATCGCTATTTATTCATTCGAACGTGTTTGGCGAAAATAACGATTGTTGAATTCTCGCATCGTTCGCAAAACATATGCGGGTTGATATGCAATATGCAAAGTCATAAAATAGTATTTCCTTCCTTCTAGAAATGAATGAAGGCCACTTATATGAAAAGAGACAGAGGAATCCTCTTAATAACATAAGATGGATATTTTTATACTACATGCTTTCGCCAAATTAATTTGTTTCACATGCGGTACGTCATCTAGTCAACTGCGCCTTTTGCTACATTTCCAAAGTAAAAAAAAAATGATTGGAGAAAGCAGAAATGGAACAATATTTTCTTCATCGTTATAATATTATTGTTTTTATTATTATTCTGATAAATCTTCTAGATGGAAGAAGATCTTCCAAAATAATCAGCTCCATCTTCTTCCTATGCTCATGGGTCACGATTGACCACGCGGGCTGCATGCATCATTAATTAATATATACGAGGCTGCCATTTTCGGGCGTATCTACTATAGTTGATTTTTAATGATAATCTTCTGGAATAATATATATATTGTTGACTTTTTTTTTTTGGTTGAAATATTGTTGACTTGAAAGTGTCGTTTAAATACTTAGTATCAACGACGGATCTTTTGTTCACGTAGTTGGTATATGGAGATGCGCGATTGACGTAAAAATTGTTCACACTTTGCGGCACCTACTACCAATGAAAGGCCTCATTCTGGAATATGTTTTCAGTAGGCTTTTTAACTATATATATAGCTGAATAATTTATAGTTGGGAAAACGACATAAACAATCCCGGAACTTTTGTCTAATGCACAATGTGATCCCTAAACTTTTAATTTGTTCAATACCGTCAATGAACTTTTGTTGCATGTTTAATTTAATCCATAATATGTAAAAAAGTTCAGGAACCACATCGAATATTAGATTAAAGTTCAGGGACCACATTAAACAGATTAAAAGTTCATGAACCATATTGCACGTTGGACTAAAGTTTAAGGACTGTTTGTGTCATTTTCTTTTTATAGTTGGAGGATAAAAAATCGGGTCATCACTCTCCACCATTTTTCAATATGCATGGCCATAAAAATAAAATTGGTTAGATCCTTACCAAAAAAAATAAAATAAAATTGGTTAGGTGCTTGCGTGGATTTTATATTCATTATTGTATGCTTTTAGCATCCTTCACGAGGTGAATTATGAGTATTTTGTTCCTTTTGCATTATTGTAATCTGTGCGTTCGATAATTGAGGAAGTTGTTTGATTATATTACTACTTCGCTTAGGGGCCACTGAGCAGATGGATTTCTTTGAAATCGTACCTAATTACGTACAGCACTGCCAACTGGGATCTTTTGCTAGTGCCGAAATTAAGTAATATCAAGATGGGTTTTATCTTCGGAAGGCGTTTTTGAAAGTACAACCATAAAAGTAGAACTTCGATATCGAAAGCTTACTTGAGATGGCTAAAACATTTATCTATACAAAATATATAAAGCCGACTTTCGCATTTTGGGTCCACTTTTCATTCGATCAAAATACCCCTTTATTTTATTTCATCCAATCTCAATATAGGAAAAGTAAAGAGAATGTTATATTATTAATCTTACGCAAGTGGTCTCATTTTATCTTTATACTCTGTGTGTTTCGTGATAAATATTTTCCGTGAAAATATTTTTTGATGCTTGGATTGCTTAGGAAAATGAGTCAACCGAAAACCTATGCTTAAAATCAGGAAAATGATTTCTTTAAAAATTCGGAAGTTATTTTTCAAAATATGACTAGATATCGGCGCTTGAACTAGAAATTCTGTACTTTGGCATTGTAAATCGTTCCCGAGTCCTAGGTGTCCAAGATTGGGTCCTCAACACCTGGGCTTGGGTCCATCAAGGCCGGCCCCGCAACCCTCGTGCTCGTGCCTAGGTTCCTGGTACCAACGGCTAGATCCATTGGGTTAGGCTCGGGCCCCCAGTAGTGGTGCTTTGGTCCTCGGTGACAGGGTTCGAGTTCATCGAGGCAAGTTCCAAGGCCCCGATTCCCGTGCTCGAGTCCCTAGTGCTTGGGCTTGTGTCCTCGGTGCTTGAGTCCTCGGTGGCCAGGCCCCGATCTATCGAAGGCAAGGCTCGAGACCCTGATGCCCGTGCCTGTGCCTGGGTCCATTGAGGCTGGGCCTACGTCCACAGAGGTTGGGCCCGGTCCCCGAGTGCCCGTGCCAGGATCCTGCGTCCGAGCCTAGGTCCATTGAGGTCAAGGCTCGGACCTTGACGCCCATGCCCTGGTCCATAGACGCCGGGCTCGAACCTGGGTCACCGGGGTTCCCCGCTCGGCCTTTGTGGACCCGGGCATGGGCATCGGGGCCTCGGGCTCGGCCTCCATGGACCCAAGCCAGGGCACAAGGAAGCTGTGCAAGGGCATTAGGTTTTTGGTTCCGGCTTCTGTGGACCTGGGACCGATGCCTATGCTCTTGCTCGGGACCCAAGTGCCTGTGCCCGAGTCCTTGGTGCCCAGGTCAGGGTTCATCGAAGCTGGACCTGGGTGCCTATGCCTGATTCCCCGGCTGCCCATGTGCAAGTCACTAGCATCCGATTAGTATATGTGTATTTAGGAAAATCAAATCAGATTTTGTTTTCCAAACGACTGAAAATATTTTCCTGTTTATTTTCCGATTTCGGCCAAACATTAGAAAATATTTTTCAGAAATGTAACATTTTTCGTGAAACAAATGTAACCTTTCTTTAAGAATTATAACAATCCGCTCTCTCAAATCAATGATGCATAAAGCCACTTGTGTAATTTTTTTTTTGACAGGATCTATGTTATGCTATACTTGGTCATATCAAAAGGCATAAAGGAAAAATTACAACCATTACCTTCTACAAGCAAATCAACCCTTCATCTCGTTCTTAACATGGATTTCTGACGCAACGTTAGGAATTATCATTTGCATTACTATACATACCGCGAAACTCACTACGGAGAATTCTTGGAAGGAAATAACTACCCCGAAATAGGAACCAAGAGAAGAAAACAGCGAATCAAGGACCACGATGTTGACCTCCTGGACAGTATGAAATGGCTGAGGAAAATAAGCTGCAGCCTTTTGTAGTGGGTATTGAATTGTATTGGGAGTTAGCTATTGTGATAGCTTATCTTATTCAATGCGCATCTTAATCAGAGTGCTGCGTGTGAGCGGAACTGTGTCCATTGACTTCAAACGCATCCCCAGGAACGATTGTTCTTCTCTACTTCCCATTCTTCACACATCGCAACTGTATGGAACTGGTAGTTGGAGAGATATTCTTTTGGCCTTGTCTCTCTATTTTTGTCTTGTTGCATTTGTTTCCCTTTGGAAGGGTAGATAGATTCACCCACTGACCCTTCAAACTTCAAGGTCTCTCTCTCTCCCTCCCTCCCTCCCTCTCCCCCTCTCTCTCTCAAGCAAACACCTAACTCTCCATGCTTTTTATACTCTCTTACAGACTCTTTTCACCACCATCCCAACACTCACTCCCACAACCTCAACTGTCTTCAATCTCTCTCTCTCTCTCTCTCGGTGCGTGCGTGTGTCTTGAGTTTCCCAATAACTAGTAAACATTTCTCAAGCACCCACTTTTCCCCAAATTACCAGACCACTCTCTCTCTTTCTCTCTCTCTCTCTCTCTAAATTATGGCACCAAAAAGTGAGGGTTATGCTAAAAAGGTGATGAACAAAGGGGCATGGACAGCTGAGGAAGACAGGAGGCTTTCTGAGTACATTGAAGTCCATGGGGCCAAGAGGTGGAAGACTATTGCAGCCAAGTCAGGTTAGTTGTCATCAGCAGTTAGTTAATTCACAACATCACCATGAAAAGTTAATAGTGCCCATCTGTTCAGCAACTGCATTGTGATTCTTTCACGGGTGCTGTGTTGAATTTGATACAGTTGATGACCTATTTCTCTCTTGCTCTTCTTGCAGGCTTGAACAGGTGTGGGAAGAGTTGCAGATTGAGATGGTTGAATTATCTGAGGCCCAACATCAAGAGAGGCAATATATCAGATGAAGAAGAGGACTTGATTCTTAGGCTTCATAAGCTTCTGGGAAACAGGTTGGTCTAAATTTGGACGATGTGATGTTTTTTTCCTCTCTCTCTCTCTCTCTCTCTCTTCGTACCACGCTTATTGTCTATTTCTCTAAAGCAATCGACTAATCACGACACTGTGGCATTGTTTGTGTAGGTGGTCTTTGATTGCCGGGAGGCTTCCAGGTAGAACCGACAACGAGATTAAGAACTACTGGAATTCTCATTTGAGCAAAAAAATAAACCAGGAAGAGAAACCGCAGAATAAAGCCATCCCCGCTCCTCGAGAAACTTCTCCGCCCACGTCTCAAGAAGTTGTTCAAGTGGATGAGGAGGGAGCTGACAGAGCGGTCGGAAATTTCTCGGACGTCGACTTTGACACGGACGAGTTCTTCGACTTCACGACCGAAGGGTCTTACGGGTTTGAGTGGGTGAATAAGTTTCTAGAGCTTGACGACGGATTAACGCTCAAGGAGAAAATGTGAAAGCGGGCTGTATTTTCTTCTTCAAAATGATGAGTTTCTACATCATCATGTGTACAATTCTCGGATTAATGAATCATTTCTTCATTAGCTCACTGAACTGGGCATAGTGACTTGTGATGGGATCTTCAGAGTGACCATGCATTAATATTTAAGAAAGGGATAATTTCTGCAAACAATGACCATGCACTATTCAACCAATCAACTGATTGAACTCTGATTTTAATTCTTGGTCCGATTATAAAAAGCCCAATTGGTCAGAATTTTCACCAATATGATATATTAAATCTGAGGGCCTGTGTCCATGTCTTTGTCCGCTGAGCTTTGGAAGATGGTAACGGTTGTAAATGCTGTCATTGCATTGCAGCAAGATAATTTGTTTCTTTGGAAAATTGGACCGAAGTTCAATTTTTGGCGCAACGTGCAATCAAGTCATGATCCTTTAAATTTGTGCAATCAAATCCTAAAATCTTTTCGGTAATCGCTCAAATGAACTTTCTGACATGGCACTTTGCAATCGGAAAGTTGCTCTTTTAATTTTCAAACATGTATGGTCTTGACGTGGCACTGGTGTGGCACCGTGCTAGAAGAAAGTCAATCTTAAATAACGAAAAAATTGCAAATAATAAAAAGACCATTTTTTAAAAAAGAAAAATCAAATAAATAGAGAGAGAGCACCATAAGTTGGGTAAGGCTTTTGCGTTACCCCATGTTGTCGGGGCCTTGGCCAGGCCATGCGAGCCATAGCCAGAACTGGCCAAGGGTTCGCGAGCCGTCACCTATGGTTGATGAAGGTCGTCAACCCTCGTCAGCGACACTGGGGACATCCTCACTCCTGAAATTTTATTTTTTGACCTTTTCTGACATAATGCCACTTTAGCACCGCATATGTGAAAATAAACTCAAAACCGCCAAGGTAGATTTCAGCGTGCCGCTTAAGCACATTAGCTCACCCGGAACGATTATATTGCACCCAATAAGAAAAAAATATTTAGAATCCAATTGCACAAATTCAAACGTGCATGACTTAATTGCACATTAGACTAAACATTTAGGACTTTTGCTGCAAATTTTTCTTGTATCTCTTCTTTTTTTATAACAAACCAGTACAACTGAAAGGACAGAGTGAAGAGGAAATTCGAGTTTTTCCTTAAAAGAAAGAATCATAGATGCCCAACATCACTGTCGATCTACATGGTGGGTCATTGGATTACGCGCACTTTTATGCAGTCAATGAAATTTAGAGCTTTGTTAGGCGATGATGAGTGATGAATCCGATTGTGATTTGCGACCCCTGCTTGTTCTTTTTCGAAGTTGTTTCCAAGATGGAAGGTGAAAGAATCGAAATAATGATGTTGATGGAGAAGATTAAAGTCTCCATGGCCAAAAAAAAATTAATTATGCGCAAGTTAACCATTTATAGACCAGACAATCGATATGATTAGTTAGGGGTGTCAATGGTTCGGATGAATTTGGGTTTCCATGATACCCAAACCGACCCCAACATTTTCGAGACATGCGTTTTTGTGATCCGAACTAAAAAAAAAGGGTTTGGTTTGGGTCAAAGTGCAAAAGACAATGATGAATGAGACTTTCTTGGAGGGCTTTTTCTTTTCTGAGAGGAAGAAAATGTATGGTTTAAAGTGTTTCGATTCAGTTTGGGTTAAGGTGCCCTAAATCAAATCGAATTGAAATTGTTCATGTGGCAATTTTTTTTAACTTATTACTCGAATCGGAAGGAACCCGACCCGATAATTTCGGTTCGGATACTTTTGACACGTCTACTTGCCGCGTTGCCTATATATTAATGGAGTCAAAAGTTTAAACCATCATATGGACAAGAACTCATGTATATTAGGCACATCATAACCATGTATTTAAGCGAAATAAAATTTACACTTTCAATAGTCACATATCTCTTGTGAAGTAGTTTCCCGATTGCTAACATCTTGGGGAGGCAATAGTGGCATGCTCGGCAACCTTACAGGTATTGTGAACTAATTACGCCTCCATTTAGACATTTCATAGAGAGTGCGAGATCATCACCATTTATGGACGAGGCCATCAAGATGATTACCAATCATCTTTTATTTTCTACGAGATCGTGAGTTCGATTCACGTTATAAACTATATTCTTGGAAAGGTTATTGCCGTTAGGAGTGTTAATGATTCGGATTGGCTTGCGTTTCCATGATACCCGAACCGACCCGAAGTTCCGAACATGTTCGGTACATGTGTGTTTGCGACTCAAACCGTATAGTACCCGAACTAAAAAACACGGTTTGGTTCTAGTCAAAGGTGCAAAAGACAACGGTGAAGGAGACTAGAAGGAGGGCACTCTCTGGGAGAAAGATAATATATGATCTAAAGAGTTTCGATTCGATTTGGGTTTCGGTACCCGAATCGAAACTATACATGTACTGGTTTTTTTACCTATTTCTCGAACCGGAAGTGAACTCGACCTGACAATTTTCATTTAGTTCGGATCGAGTTGGGTAAATTTGACACCCTTGCTTGCCGCGTCGCTTATATATTGATTAGATGGACAAGAACTCACGTATATAAGGCACATCATCACTATGTATTTGAGCGAAATAAGATGTACACTTTACAATAGTCACATATATCGTGTGAAGAGATTTCCCGACCGCTAATGAAGCAACAACAACATGCTCGCCAATCTGAAATCTTGGTATCACGGGTAATACGGAGTAATTATGCCTCAACCTGGATATCCTCGTAATAATAACGGCTGGTGCTAGTCGGATTAAATTTAGCATGTCCTCTCCTTCGCCTCCCCCACCCCCGATATAAATTTGGTTTAATGGAAATAAAGAAAAGATTTAATGTACTTGTTCATTGAACTTGTTCCGTTTCTGTATTGCTAGCTTTCAATCATAGGTTTTGCACGTGAACTTTCCTGACAAAGAAGGCGATAGTTTTTTCCCGAGAAAAAGGGTGAAAGTCCTGTTGGGGGTCAACTGACGAACCAATCGAGCACTCCATGATGATACTGATGATTCGATGTTGCTGTCTCGTCCCTGGCCCCATCACGTCCGTCCATCCTGAATTTTGCCCTAAATTGCTAACAAACTCTCTCGAATTGGCAAATTTCCATCAAAGGGCCCCCGATAAAACCAGAGTCATAAAAGCCATTCTTCTTTGCGTAAGATAGCAAAAGTTGCTCTGCATTTAGTCGACGCGACCGTTCTTTGTTCTGTGAATCCGTGCCGTGCGAAAAGGTCCTTCGTTTCGCTTTCTCCACGTGCCTTTTGTACTTGTGTTTTGATTGATTAAGGGTAAGTTTGATAACCATTTCATTTTTAAAAATAATTTTTATTTAGAAATGATTATTTTTATTTTGTTTTCGAAAATAATTTATGAACATTTAAAAACGTTTAGTAACGGCCTAAAATTTTTATTTCTAAAATAGAAAAAGACTAGAAATGCATTTGGTAACGGTACAAAATTTCTTTTTATCAATAATATTTTGAATTTTTTTAATATTTCTTTCTTTTTTTTTTTCCTTCTCTCCTTCCTTGGCTTATGGCCGGCGAGGGCGTTGCTGCCCCCACCCAGGCCACGAGCGACAAGGGCAGCCCACGCCGGCCTTTTCCAACCCTCACTCAAGCTGGCGAGGGCTACCCTCAATGCTTGCAGCTTGGGCGAGGGCTGGACCCTCGCCGCCGCCCTCGCCCAGGCTGCGAGCCTCGAGGGTCGCCCTCACCAGCTCGAGCGAGGGTTGGAAAAGGGCGGCAAGGGTGGCCCTCGCTGCTCGCGGCCTGGGCGAGGGCCCCCCTCGCTGGATCTGGCGAGGGTCACCTAGGCTGCGAGGGTCCAGCCCTCGCCCTCGCCAACCATCGGCCATAAGCCAGGAAAGAAGAAGAACCGATCACAGTCAGGAAGGAAAGAAGAAAAAGAAAAAAAAAATTCTCTTCTATATCTAATTCTTATTTTCAGAATCAAGAATTAACTTTATTTTTATTCTTGATTTTGTTCCAAAACTAATTCTAGGAACAAATTTGTGCCCGGGAAAAAAAAATTTACCAAACAGATTTTTATTTTTTTTGTTCCTGGAAACAAAAGAATAGAATCATGCACCGTTTGGCCGGTTACCAAATAGGCCCTAATTCAATCGAATAAAACATTGACAACATATTCATTCAGGAAAAAAAAATCATGTCATATATACATTGCTACGAGAAATTAGGATTATTATCACAAAAATCCCAAACTGGTACATTGGGTACACCGGTGACAAATTTACCTCAAGTTAATTTTTTTGACCACAAAAAACTCCAAACTAGTATACCTGTGACAAATTTATCATGTGATAAATTTATCCAAAACTAATTTTTTGATCACAAAAAACCCCAAACAGGTACACTTATGACAAATTTACCATCTATTAAATTGAATTAATACCACGAAAAACTACAAACTGTTAAACTTGTGATAAACGAATGGGTAAAACCCTAAACTGGTACACCCATCAACTGCCACGTGTCATCTAACTCAACAATTTGATGATAAAATTTAACGAAATGAGGGTAAATTTGTCACAGGTGTACTGGTTTGGAGTTTTTTATGGTAAAAAAATTAATTTGCCGTAAATTTGTCACAAATATATAAGTTTGGGGTTTTTTGTGATATTAACCCTAGAAATTATTTAAAGTGCTTTCTCAATTATCGGTGACCTGGAAATGGTAAAAAAAATGAAGATAAAACAAGAAATACATATGCCGATAAATATAATACTATTGCAAATCTATTTATGGTGTAACGTCCTTATCTTACCTCGGGGTTATTAATTTGACATTATAGGCTTGTCGCCGTCCCGTTTCTTTCATCTAAATATTAAGGACATGCAAAAATGTACATAAACAAATTCAACATAATAATAGCTGGAAATCAGGGAAACCATAACAGGCAAGACACATTATTGCCATTTTACTTGAACATAGTTTGCAATCCTTTTTTCCACGGGCCGTTTCACGTACAAATCACATCACAAGCGAAGATCGAGGTTAATCCTAGCTCCTCTATGTCATCCTCCATTTTACGGACTTGAAAAGGAAAATAACGGGGGATGAGT